TTTTTTTTTTAATGCAATTTACATTGTTCGATTCTGTCGAATTGTACGCGCGTCAAAGTTTCACAAAGCGACTTAAGGAATGAAGTAATTTTATTTGATCGTTCCAAAATCCCAAATAAAGCAACGCAAGCATACGCAAGTAACGCGCGTATTGATACTTTAGAGTTTCGCTCCGCGTCAGTGACACGCGAGCTCGTACGAGCAAGCACGAAGCAAAGGTAAATAGGTATAAAATTTGGATGCAATAAATCAGGATACGATAATGTTTGATCGTCAAAGACGTTGAAGATCGTTTCATCGCTCCAATTTTGACGTACGGGTTACGTAGGTTCTTTCTCGTACGTTTTAAATTTATTTGTGTAGGTGATCGAAGCCGCTTGACCCTGTTTTTAAATACAGCACGATCTGCATATTTGACCGAGCATAAAGAGCTTTCGAAAGTTGGGCAGGCGGTTTTCAGAAACAATGAATCTGACGCGATACTTACCCACCTATATATATATATATTTACCCACGTTGCTCGTTTTTAATTAAAAGTCCTATACGGGATAACGAACCGTGTGTGGCGTAACTCGCGTCAGTTATATCTGCTTTCTCCCTGATTAATTAGCACCGATTGAATCCATCGCCCCGTTTGTTGAAACCTTCTGTCTGTCGTCTATCAAAAGGAACAGCATCGTCCATCTGGCAACCGTGATGCCAGAGTTTCGCCGCAAACTCGTTTGCTATTTCGTTCTATTAAAATTGTCCATTCCCTTTCTACGCATGCATATCCTTACAGGTGGCAACAACAGAATTTCTATTCAATGTCGTAGCTGATGTCTATGCCTATTACGCGTACCACGTGTGTAGTAAAAAGTATAATAATCGTGCATATATACGCATATATCGTTTTATATTATCACTGTTTGAAAATAGATTTATTGCATACCATTGTTCCGAAGCTTTCGCCGTTTCATAAAAATAAAATTAATACTCCAGACTGACACGATGAAACGAATAACAGTGAATAACAATTGATACGAACAATAACAACGGCCCAACACACACACGTGCAGGATTCATTTCACTTGAAAACGATCGAGTATCCGTCATTTTTGCAGCGCACACTCGATCGTATTCCATCGTATTTATATCATTTATATTATTTATGTTGCAAAAGGAAGATCGTTACGTACATGATATCGTTCGAATTATTTCGCGCATGCACATTCCACGGTATTATCCACAACGGATAACAACGATACGCGTATTTTTGTCTTTACAATTGCTCATAAAATTTTGTTTTTTTTTTTTTTTTTTTTCATTAAAAAGGAGTAGAATAATCTATTCGAACACGTCGAGCAGCGAAGTGTACCAACAGATACAAAGTTGGACAAAGCACCGGATACCAACGAAGGGAAGCAATCGATAAAAGCGAAATATCAACCACTTTAAACTTTTCCTTTTCTTCTTTTGTATCGTCAAGGAATAAACTTTAAATTGGCAATTCCGCATTTCTGCCGCTTGTTCGTATCTCCGTTGAGAAACCGAGAATTCGTACACACGGTCAAGCTAAGCAAAATCCAATGATGCGTGTCGAGCTATGCAACGCATTTATTCTTGATTATATAAATATAAAGTATCAATCGTACAAGTATCGTACCGTAATTCTGATTGGAATAATGATTTACGATTGGTTTAAAACGTTGCACGAGCTGCGTAAAATTGACAAACGTTCCATCCTAGCTGTAAATAGAACGAAAATTCGCCAGCCTTGGCGAAACAACAAACGACTAAGGCTAAAATGACAGACTACCAAAGTGTTTGTCGAAGTTTGGACATTTAGTCAGCGTCGAAGCGTATGTGAGCGAGCATGTTTTGCAATGCGATTTCACGTTAGAATCGTACTAGTTTCCTCGCCACTCATCCTCCCTGGTAGCCGGTGTTTGTTAGTTGCTGCCTTGGCTCTTTGTGCATACACGCGCGTGCATATGTGAGAAGGGGAATACCGGTAACCGTAAACAAGCCGTTTACCCCTTGGATTTCGTACTAGCTTTGCCAATTCGAGTTCGTTGCAAGTTTAACATTCGCGACGTTTCCGTTCCCGCGTAAATTTGATCAGCTGTGTGCAGTGAGCACATTCGAAATGGAGATGAAAAATTATCGCACGGAGAATAATCAGTATTTTGCTTAACAATCCCTTTACTTTTAGATTATCACACAGGCGTGATGTCAATGCCGTGTAAAATATTTTCAAACTTTATTAGCACCTCCATTTTTATAAATGAGATCGCTAGACGAGAAAGAGAACAAGAGAGCAATCATCCATCCCCCTTAATAACAGGGAGGACAAGACAAAAGACTAGTTCCTGATCAACGATGAAACGTGGTGTTGGCGGAAAAATTGTCTCGTCGTAGAGGTACAGAGATACCGAGAATCGTCTTTTGCTCTCTTTCACTCGACGTAGAAGAAACAGATGACAGAGACAAGAGTAGGTACGTACGTGCGAGTACGTCATGGCTGACATTGTCATTCGCGGCTAACAACATGTGACACAGTCGGTAAAAAGGAAAGAAGGACGCTTGCTTCTTCTCGCATCATTCGAGTCGACTGGCTGCTTTACCAGTTCCTCTTCGTTTTAAAGCGAACGAGCAAGCTTGTCAAAGCCCGTGGAAACTTTTTCCGTTCATCCGTTACGCTCTGCGAGGAAAGATCGTCGACTAGCTGATCGATTTGCTAGAAGCGTCGCAACATGCTGCCGCTCTTCGGTTCGACAAATGAATCGTCATTTAGAATCAGCACGTACGTATGTATGGGCAATAAGCTGTTCGATGTACTTTGTAAAAGAAAGTGAGCACTCCACGCGTGTGTGTAATATTTTGCAAATTGAACGAGTACAGATAAAAAGATTCATACCTGAAATATTCGATCTACTTTCTCTCGTACGCCTTCGTGGTCTAAATTCGGATCAGCAAATTTCCCCATCAGCTCGTACACAGCCGTCACGATGTCCGTCATTTCCTCCCTGGTGATGCAACCATCGCCATTGATGTCGTAAAGGGAAAATGTCCAGCGGAGTTTCTCATCGATGGAACCACGTGACAGTATGCTGAGACCAGTAACGAAGTCCTACGACATCCGAATAAGATTGGTCCTCTACCGTGTGATACTGCTAAACTAGTATTTCAGTGTGTGTGTGTGTGTATGGACGAAACATTGACAACAGAGAGAATGGAAAGCGGAAATATACAACCAGCATCGCTCGTGCGTTAAATCAATGAACGAGAGAAGTCTGTTTAAATGGATTGTCGAGGCTTTAGTTTGCATCGTTTCGTTAAAATTCGATTTACCGCTTTATTTCGATAGAACGATACCGTAGAGTCGAACATGTAATAGATTGCGATTAATGCTACGTCGTTTAATTGGGAAACCCATTGATATCCGTAGCTCTCTATCGCCCAGGGAATTGTTTCATCGAAACAGCTGGTTACCCTGAGATTTGAAACTTATTTCTCTGTCGATGCTTGTAGATTTAACACACCGATAATTCGGGGTATCAACATGCGTAGCTCTTTATACGATTTATTGGAATGAAAGTGAATATTTTTTGTAGAACAGGATAGATTTGCGTAAAGATTTGGCGACTTACACAGTAATCCATTTGTTACGATGCGCGATATATAAACGGATCAAGTACCTGAATGTTTCTGTACGTTTACGTAACAAGATTTTTACTTGTTAGACGTCAGACGCGTGGAAATTTTTGTTTGAAAACAAAAACGTATCGAATTATTCGCCGTTCCCGTTTCCCGTACGTATCCGGTCGTGAGTGGATTACACTCACTTTTCGCTGATATCGTTCAAAAGAACGGTGATTAAATGTTTCCGAAATATCGTCCAAGCACGCTGTGATTTCCTCCTGATACGAAAAACTAGACGTACCGAGAAATCTATTAACGGGTCGCTTTTGTAAAGCTCCATTTCATTTTTGTTCACGCGAGAAGGAGATTACGTCGAAAGCGATACGTACACGCAAAAACCTCGTTCAATTGCACGACAAGCGACTGTCGAACAGCAACGATAGACAATACACGTTACACGAGCCCTTCAAGTCCAAAATTAAGAAAAACGAAGAGAGTTTATTGTACAAATAGCAAGTGCTCATTTTTACCAAACTGACTTGCACGTGTTTCATTTTTTGTACTAGTATAAAAAAAGAAGAAGGTCGTTTTACGACCTAAGCGAACAATGGCATAAGCTTATTCATCGCTTTGCCAGTAATTTATTCTTGTCGAAAGAAATGGAGATTTATTTCACGACGTTACGTTTATCGTAATTACTTTATTTCGTCGCAACTCAAGCTACAGTCTATTCTCAATTTGTTACAAAGTATTACACGAACGTCGAATTTTTACATTAAGAGAGGGGACCTAATTCACTTGGGTCAGTCGTATATAACTCGTCCCACGGGCACAAGAATGTCAGACGGCCAACTTACCAACTGGAAATTTATTCCCGGCAATTTATTCAAGTTTGCGCTGCAAACACGCTCGTAAATACACGAGCCACTTTGATACATCTTTATTTATAATACGCGAGCATTTGCTAAAACGTGTGAACTAATGGCACGTTAACGCACTGAAATCCACCGAACAAACATTCAACAAAATACTCGAGTAATAGAGAAACATGGAGAAAGATGATTTTCATCGCGAGCTGTGTGTATTTGTAATTTGCACGTTTCTAAAAGGGAAATAGACATCCATAGATCTCTAGATTAAAAAATGCAAAAGTTTTCGGGTACTGTGTCCAAGACAAGGATGCGCGTATGCGAGTGAATCGAGCCACTAGTCGATCATTTCCAATCTCGACGCGACAATTATTATTGTGGAAATTCCAGGGAAAGTTTGAATGCCGATAAAAAGTAGAGGAGGTGACTCGCAGCAGGTTTCGTCTCTGTTCCATTGTACCGCCGGAAGAGAATGATTGCAGCGCGACGCTGTGTCTGTACGCTCTACACTCTCTCGCATATGCGAGAGCGCAATTTCCACTACACTGGCCAAGAAAAGTGGGCATTGACGTTGCACGCCGTTTTGAAATAGCGACGAGAGCCCAGCTCGTGCTTCTAGCCATGTTGGAATTATGAGGAAAAGGCCTCTGTCAAAGATCAAATGTGTGCGACTATCGTTCAACGAGACGTTACAAATGTGTATTTCTATGCTCCTGCTCCAGCCGATTCGTTCACCCGCATGGGAAACTCATTGCTGGAAAATTGGCAGCAGCAGTTTAGCGTCTCCACGTTGTTTTCGTCACCTACATCCACGTAATTTCTGTTCTTTCGTCGCGTCAGAAGTTTGTGCAAATTCACATACTGTGTGTCTGTGTATGTATTTATATTTATTTTATTCGCCACATATATATTGCCTTGCCTACGTAAAAGTAATTTCTGTATTTTGCATTTGCAACAATAGATACGCAATTAACGACACTCGTGCCGTTGTGTCGAATGCCTGTACGCGCACGACCTAGAACGATTTTTAATTTAACAAAAAATTCCTTCCCTTCGACGAATTACCCTGGCAAAATGGCTTAAAATACGAGCGCTAAAATACTGTCATTAGACAGAGAGAGAGAGAGAGAGAGAGAGAGAGAGAGAGAGAAATGGTTCTTTCTCAGTTTTTTCAAAGGTCAGCAGATCGCAGTACGCGTTGTTAATAACTTTTTTACGAATTAAAGCTGTCCGTCGGTCGCCGCAAATTTCATTCCGCGACGTTGAAGAATAAAGAACGAACGAAGTGAACGTGGTTCGAGAGGTGGAATAGACCGAGAATGAATTTTGGAAAAAATTGAGAGCGAGGTTTTCGCTACGTAGCCGGGCGAAATTTTCTAAAACACGAGGAAAATTCATGCATACTTTCTTCACGAATGACGGTCACGGGTCACGAAAGTTTCCGAGAAGATCTCTCTCAAGTTGGTATTTCAATTTGTTCGGGAAATATGCAACATTTTTACTGGGGGAAGATACTGAATGGCAATCGAAATCCCCGGGACATGGTGACCTACTTTTTCTTTGAAAATACGCACGCCGGACGCGGTGATAGTACGAGTAGAAAGAGAGAACGGTGAATCAGCGTTTATCATTGAACAGAACATTGCAGGTGCCAAAGCATGGAGTAGGTCAGTAAAGACCAGCGAGCGAAAGCTGCGATTTAAAATTACACGTTGCTTCGAGCAGCGGCGATATTTCAGCAGAGCAAAAAAACAAAAGAGTAAAAGAAGAAGAAATAGAAATAAAGAAGGGAACGACAGAAAGAAAGGGTGGAGCAAGACAAGTGGTAAAAATGCAACGAGGATCTGACCGAGGGAATTACAGGCTAACGAAACGAAACGATAACAAGCGTGAAGAGAGATTCAATCGGAAAGAGATCGAAAGTTTCTGTTGACTCGATTTACGGGTGTTATTATTCCAGTCACGAGAACGCCATCATCGAAGTTTTGATTAGCCAGCGAGAGGCGCGTGCTACAATATATTGTCTTTTAATACACGCCACGGAGAGTAACCACCTTACGATACCTTACGAACCTCGAAAGAGGCAGAGGGCAGAGTCTTTACTCGCTTTATGAATAAATTGCTTCTCGCGCGCCAAGACAAACGAAGTAATTTGTCGCGCACTTTATTCGATGCGGCGCACACAGCCTGCTCAAGCTTGCAATAATGGGTTCGACAGGGTTGTCGGCGGTGGTTCAGTGGTTCGGTGGTTCGACGCTTCGGCACGACGTAATTGAAAACTGCAAAAAGAATTAATAATAACGGCCCACGTACACGAGTCACGCCGCGTACACGCCACGGCCAAAAGCACTTTGCAGTTCATGTTCATGGGGAGAAATTGGATTAGCGCACGCCTCAATTATGGCAAATCGAGTTACGACGGCGTTTTTTCATTCGAAAGCAATCGATGGAGGGTGTGCCGCGTGCGTTGCTTCAACTTAGTTAAGGATACTTATTCAACGCTCGGGCTTGCACCGTGCTGCACACTTTACACGGCTCGGAAGCAAACAATTTTCAAAGGTTGTTCGTCCCCACCCGACGAAACTTCAATCTACTCGTTACACGCGACGTTTCATTTTCCATGGATAGATTCTATTGAAACCGAAGGTGTAATTAGCATCGAAAGAGGGACATCGAAACAGACAAACGACAACAAGCTTTCGAACGAGTATTTTTTCTTTTAATCCTCTCTCTCTCTCTTTAATCCTGTTCGAAAAATGATATGCTATTTAAACGAATAATAAATTTTCGATTGTGGATCGTATATTATTATCGGATGGAAGCAGATCTACATTGAGAAAGTCTTCACGGTAATAATAATCTTCTCGATGACGATAAAAGTGAAACATTGGACCCATTCGATGGTACTACCTCTGTAGAATTATAACAGCATCGTTGAACGACACTTTTCTCGGCCAATGGATCAGGAAAAGGCGAACCTGTGACACGATCCTCACTTGACCTGTGCCACTTTAGATTTCTGTTCTATGAAACGTTTTTTCAACGATAGAAAATCTAACATAGGTGCTTACTCACGCGTATAAGATTTGCCGTGGTTGGTGGTATAAAACACGCGGTATAAAAACATACCAACGAATGTTTCCGTCAATTTCGTTTCGTTTCGTTCCGTTTCATTCCCTGTGCAACGAGCATAATAGCGGAGATGAATTCCCGATTTGAACAAAGCTGCACGTGGGTACGTGTTAGGCAAATAAGCCTGTAACGTAAGTAAGCATTATAACGGTGAAGCAGGAATGCTCTGTTCACAAATATAGGAGATACGTTTACAACACTCCTAATCGCAAACAACGATGCCCGCCGGAATAAATAGCGATTGTTGATTTAGGTCTTTAGGTGATTATGCCCCCAGCGATCCAAAACGTTTCGAACACGGTTTCCATCAAGCTTCAAGGATAAAACGCACCGAGAGACAATTCAATTACGGATATTTCTGTGTTATCTGACGCGGGTTAAGTTAAACGTTTCTTCATCCAAGATACAAAATCCTGTTTTTAACGTAAAACGTACACGTATACACGATCCGTCGTCGAAAATAATTTTGCGGCATGATTCTTCACAT